AAATTGAAAAAACTTCACCTACAAGCGTGATGTATCTATTTTAAGGCTAAATCCGAGAAGTAACTCGTTTTGTCAGCATGTTTCACAAATTGTTTTGTAACCAGCAGAAAAGGAAGCAAGGTCATGTTCTAAATATAAAAAAGCTCAGTTTTAGAGCATAACTATGAAATATTTTTTTGTAACGCGCGACTGTTACGGTCAGCTCAGTGAGACGTGAGCTCCCTTTTCACCTGCGGCAAAACAATTTCAAACAAGTTAGCCATGAAAACTTTTTCTCGCTTCACAGTGCCGCACACAAGAAAGAAAGGTGTCTCCATTCTACACCATCGGTACTTCCATGGCTGGGTGAAAGAATTCGACGAAAACCAAAATACATATATATTGGTGTTTGTCAGAATCTTGCATCCAGCTATCGAATTCTGTCCAGACCAGCGTCTGTCGGACACTTTCATCCAGCTATCGCATTCTGTCCAAAACCAAATAATTCTTATAATAACAGCTACGTATGCCAGTATTATAGACAATCAATTATAATACAATACTGTTACCCTCTTCAGATTCATTCATATTTCTTACACGTCCTTACAATATGTGGCTGCTTTGAGATTGGGCTTTGAAACACCATTAGCAATGACAACCGTGGACATACATACATACATACATGTGCAACATATCGCGACCTCAGTGCTTTCTTGTCGTACCTCCATTATTTTTAACAGTGAAAATGTGACTTCTTCTTCATCTCACTCTTTGTTATATGAACTGTTTTCACTGTTATTATCAAAACTGGAGATACGACAAGACAGCACTGAGGTCGCGATATGGGTGTCAAGAGGTAGATAAAGAGAGGGTCACAGAAAACATAAGGAAAGAGTGGCAAAGACGTAACTCAACAAAATGTTCACAGGTCACCAGGGGCTGTAGTTAAAATCTTTTTAGTTTTAGTAGAGGTTTTACGGCGCTCGCAACTGCATAAGGCAATATGAGCACAGGGAGGCATTGCGCTGCCAAGAGCGAAGTGCTCGCAGCTAAAGGGATTTGAAAACAACAGCAACAACAACAGCAACAACAACAACATATGAGCGCCAGGAGATTAGAGGTGTTACAAGAGAGTAACAAACATAAAAAAGAAGAAGGGGGGAGATAAGGACGATAGATGTTTGAAAGGAAAGAAGAAGCAAACCACACCAGAGCACCCGCCAACTACCCATAGTTATAATCTAAGAATATTTCAGTTAGATGGAGAGCAATAAGAATTAGAATTGCCTGTGACCAAAAACAGAAGTCACAAGGGTACAAACTTTTATAATATATGTGAGGCAGCGTGGTGGAATCAGGCTCTCGTCAATGTTTGGGCATATTGAGTTATTGGTATCATCTTAAAGCTTGTTCCTTTGTCTTGCTTTCAATGAAAAAATTACCCATCCATCTTCCATAGAATTGGAGATATTTTGGATTGTAGGAGGTGGGGGTCACCTGGTTTAAGAGGTATAATTAGCGAGAAAATGGCCGCCAAAGCTTGGTAAATTCCAAAGTCGGAGAGTCCACGGAATCTGTAAATTTATGTTTGTGCCTTTAATCAATGTTTCGGTGAAATCCTCAAAGGAATGAGTTTGTAAATGGACCTAAAAGGTGTTGAGCCAAAATACAAAAATTTGATAAAAATTGCTAAGCAGGGAGAAAACTGCTGTTTTCTTCGATTTCATTATTTTGACGAGCGCCTGATTCCACCACGCTGCCTCACATATACCAACAAGAAAAAAAAAAACCCCAGCAGAAGTTAAGAGATGCTCTGTATGTTCTTACATGAAGTCGCACAAGTCTGCCACAAGAACGGCACAAGGGAAAAACGAGGGACGTTAACTTTTTAGCATTTTGAGAAAAACTAAATATAAACAAAAATGCTTGACAGCCTACGTATTCCCATAGCATAGCTTAATTGGTCGCTTTTAAGGACAAGCGGAGCGGGCTAACCCAGATTTCGGGGGTTTCCATTAACCTACACCAAAAGTGGGCATTGCCCACCCTATCTATAGGAGAAGTTTGGTTTCATATTGGTGTGTATATTGGTTCGGTTATGGAGAAAACTTTCCTTGTCTTTTAAAGAAACTGAACAAAGGGCAAAAACTTTTCCTTCGATTTTCTCAAAACAGCATTTGTCGGAATAGTGACCTTGTGCTTAAAAGCGACCATTTTTCATCGGGTTTCAGCCCTGGAGACTTAGAAGGGCCAGGAGAGGTGCGTGCACACTTTCAAAACCACACCACAACTCAAATTATCCACACAAAAGAAACCCTGACACCTCAGATTGTTTTTCCCTAGTGCCCTTCGTATGGTAAAGACACCGAAGACTGAGCCATTCACATTTAGTGTTTAGAAGAGTTAAAAAATCTAAAAAATCTAGAAAAGATTAGAAGTTTTTTTATAAAACCTCATCATTAAAACATCCTACCACAACTTTAAGGATTATAAATACAACTCCAGGCAACTGAAACGTATTGCAAGATTCTTCATTCTAATCGAACATTTACGTAAATACAACAATACATGCTGCAATCATTTTGAAAATGCAAATCACGACACAAAAGTCGGATCAAAAACAACATCAGAACAACCACGCATTTTCACATAAGAAGAGGCATTCATGATTCAAGAAACTGTTGAAATATGGTGTAAAAGAAATCTGTTCAAATCAAGTAGACTCCAGTAGCACATCCTTTCACAACTAAAAGAAACCCAATACGGACACATATGAAGACTGAAGAAATGAACAAACAAAGGTTTGAAAAAGAAAAAAAAAAAAAAAAGAAAAGAAAAAAAAAGGAGAAAAAAAAATTACTGTAATCATGTCTCAACGTTTGCCATTTTGCAGTCTGAGATTGTTGTGAAAGTGAAAGTTAATCAATATAATACTAATTATAATGAAGTTTCAAGTGTGTATGCATTTCTTGTGATTGTGGGATTTTTTGTCGACAGTGAGCGAGACAACTTCATTCATTTACATCATTAACGTACTTCTAGTTAGCTTCCCTTTTTCTCAAACAAATATGCAAAATAAATGCGGCTTCGTCAGTTCTAGTTCAGTTTTCGTAAGAGTTTTACTGCACTTGAAAACACAATAAGGTCAAACAAGTGCCGAAGATTAGAGGTGTTACAAGCGAGTGACAAACACAAAAAAGTAGAGATCAAGACGATAGATGTTTGATAGGAAAGAAGGTGGAGCAAACCACATGAGAGCACCCACCAACCACCCACCTACTTCTAGTTAGCTTCACTTTTTCTCATACAAATGCAAAACAAATACGGTTTCATCCCTTCACTGTAGGGCCTGCTTTATAATGCAACCCAACAGAATAACAGCTTATCAATGCTGGTTTGTCCTAACTGGGTTGGACCTGCTTTATAATGCAACCCAACAAAATAACAGCTGATCCATGCCGGTTTGTCTTAACTGTGTAACTAGTTTCTTAAAACCTTTCTAGCAAATCTTTTTCTTTTAATAAAAAAGTATAATTAAATGTACGTTTTTATGCCCTCATTATAATTATTACAGGGTTCTTGCCATGAACTCCCCACCAAATTTAAGGAGATGTAAAGGAGGTTTCAAGGAGAAATTTTTTTAATTCAAGGAGATTTGGAGAAGAAATTCACGCCGAAAGCCTATTTCCAAAGGCCTACTACTCTACTACACTTGTCTGAAAGGAATCGTAGTTTCGATTTTCCGATAAAAATTTTGTTTATGTCCAATCCCGAGAAATTCAAGGAGTTTTCGAGGAGGTTCCTCAAATTCAAGAAAATTTCAAGGAGATTTTTCTTTGAATGCAAATTCAAGGAGTTTTCAAGGACTCCTTGAATATCCTTGAATTCAAGGAGGTTGCAGGAACCCTGTTATTAACACAGTCTAGATCATTTTTCGACCCTGCCTGTCAGGGCCAACCCCCGGCTGAGAGGGTTACAAGGTCCTGGAAGAATGGTGGAGATAATAAAAATCCTGTTCCCTACCTACACTGGAATTTGAACTCTGGTCTTTTGCGTGCAACAGCCAAGTGTCTAACTGCAACACCACAGACGCCAGGAAACATTTCTCGTTTTACATAATGAGAGCAACACAAGATATGAGCTACAGTACTCTTACACCATTTTTTGGTTTTAATAAGAGTTATACGGCACATGCAACACAATAAGGTCATGAAAATGCCAAAGATTACAGGTGTTACAAGAGAGTAACAAACACAAAAAAGAAGAGGGGGGGGGGGAGATAGAGAAGATAGATACTTTGTTTGTTATAGGGGCAAACCACACCAGAGCACCCGCCAACCACCCACTTATACCATTTATTGAGCACAGTGACTCCTGACTAATATCGACGACCCTCATACTGACCACAGCAAAGGCTTTTTAAAACAAAACAAACAAAAAAAGACTTGTCCTATTTCTTCCAGTTTCACAGTTAAAACAAAACACCATGATAACTTAATCTAAGGTAAGGCAGTGAAAGGGTTAAATCATCAACCCTCACAGTACATCAAACAAAATGAAAGTTTTTACAATCCAACAAAAGGTACACACACAGGCACATAAAAAAAAAAAGAAAGCAAAATTGTCAACAACAATTAAATTAATTGTTACCCCAAATTCCATAGAAATTGAAAAACGTAAATTACATAAACAGTATGGAGGAATCTACTATGAGGTCAACAAGAGAAAAAGTCCAGCAAGAAACCTGCCCCTTTTCTCTAACAGACCACAAAAACTTTATCAACTCGACCATCGCACCCAGCAGCAGGGATGGTAAAACAGAACAGGTCAGCCCACTTCAGTTTAGTAATAGGTGGTGCCCACTGGGAGATCAGGTTCGCTTTGGTACAGCTGTTTCTGGTGGCTTCAGTGCACACTACTAATACACCCCCTGCCTCAAAATCTGTCCCAGGTGTTTTTCGCAAAATTTGATCATTTTTTTGCATAATTTCTGATTATTTTCCTTAATCATTCTTTGTTAAAATTGACAGAATCGCAAAATTTCATAATTTTGGGCTGTTTGCATGATTTCAGAATTATTTTTGCATAAAACCGTAGGGACAGCAAAATGATCGCTAGACTCAGGGCCTTAAAAACACACATGATTTTTTTTGAAGGTCATTGTAGGTTTCGTTCAGTTTTTGCCATGGTGGTAGCTTTCCTCCCTCAGAGGAGGAAAATCTGGCTAGCCCCAATGTCCAAACCGAACCAAACTCGCCAATGGGCACCAGGTATTATAGTAAGAAGAGTCTTACGGCACTTGCAACATAAACAGGTTATACAAGTGCTGAAGATTGGAGACGCTACAAGGGAGAGTGACATAAACTAGAAAAAGAGGAGAGATTTTATTTGGATGACGATAGATATACGGGCTAGAAAAGAAGAAGGAAAACTACACCAGAGCACCCGCCAGCCACCCACCCACAGGTCAGCCATGTAGAACAATCAGTATCACAATGTTTTCATACCCACGAGACCGATGGCAAAAGAAAATTTATTTTAAGTTAGAGAAGTTATTCTACTCCTCGGCAAAGATCAACAGTTGGATGGACTGGCGGACGGGGAGACCAGATCGAAGTGAAGCGAGGTGTCGATCATCTTCAGTCTAACCTTGCGCACTTTCCGGTAGGAGCCGGACGTCTTGGACGAGACGCTCGAGTTTGACGAGGACGAGGAGGTATCGTGAAGCTGCCCTAAACCCATGCTGTCTATGGCGCCGCCGCTGAACGAGCCCAACAAGACGCGGTCTTCCGCCTTCTCTTTCTTCGCCGCCACTGCGGGACAGAACGGATCTTTACTTTTGAGGAGAGTGGTGGCACAGCCCCCCGTGGGCGACCTCCCGATCTCCACGTCGCTGTCGTCGTCCCACTTGAACTGGAGGTTGGCGTTGGGGCACTGGGCGCTCTCCTCCCGCAGCTGCTTCTTCAGTTCCGGGTCGGGCTTCATGCGGAAAATCAACTTCGGCTGCCTCCTCCTCGTTCTGCCGGTCGCGCGGGTGTTCGTTTCTTGAACCCGGCTTTGTTTGAGGTAGATATCCTCTCCCACGTGAAAGTGGTTGGGGATGGGGACGTTGGGGGGTTTGGCGGCGGTTCCTTCTTGATCGACCGCGTTATTATTTTCCGCACAACTGCAGTGGTCCTTCTTCAGCAGAGGAGGTTTCCCAAACTCGTCGAAGCTGTTCCTCCGATGGTACCGAAAGCCGTCCGACTTGGAAAATATGCCGTTCTCATCCTTCACCTTTGTCAACAGGCTCAAGGGTTTCCCCAGACAATCGCTCAGACAGCTGTCGTCCACAGACTTGGACCGTTTGTGAAACTGGAGGTCGCCGCTGGTCCCGAAGATGTTGGAAAAGAGAGTGTCGTTCATGTCGTCAGCGGACGACCTCCGCGACACAGACGGAGAGATGATAGGCGGTTCTGGTTCTAGAACGGGAGGGTCTTGATAACTTTCTCCCCCGTCCGTGAGGGAACTTTCCATCACCAAGTCCGTCAGGCGCTGCGCACAAGTGGAAGCTTTGGCCACCAAGGAATTGAGCTCTTTAGCAAGATTCACAGCCTTCTCCCGCTTATTTCCGCTGAACAAGGTTTTGGAATCTGCCAGGGGCTGTGTGGTCCCTCGATGCAGCCGCGGGCTCTGACGTACGGGTGTGGAGGAGGACAGCGGTACGTGTTTCAGGGGTGTCCGTGCTGCAAGGTCGGCGAATGACAGTGGATGCTCCTCCATGCTGATGAGGGGAGGGAGGCTATTGTCCGAGGAATTTGGAATGGCGTTCCCTTCAGATTCGTTTGAACAAAAAAGTCTACTCAAAGTCTTTTCCTTGTGCGACTTTAGCCTCGGAGAATTGTCGAGAAAATCGGACAAGTTGTGGCTACGCAGCTCAGCGTCGGTAAACTCCCTCCCGTCGTCGGTGACATCCTCAGAACTACGCCCCATTTTGATTTGTTTCCGCGAAGGACTGCCAAATTCCTCTTTCACCTGCGACTCGGACACTCTCTCCGCTAGCCCTAAGCTCTTGCTTAACCCCGAGTCCTCAAAATCATCCATAGGCTCCTCTTTGATAGGGACCTTTTCCAGCAGACCTACAGTTCCCTTCCCTTGTAGCGGAGCTCTCCTTCGAGGGCTGCGCCTGTTTCCCTGAAGTTTACGAAATTTTGCGCAAGGAGATTTCTTATTGCACCCTGAGACTTCTGTCTTTGAATTGGAAAAATCCGTTGTACCCCTATCACTACAGGCATCGTCTCTAGCCGGCGGCCTTCGTATATGATTGGACATGTTCAAGATATCCTGCTCCAGCACCACGTTACCAGAACTACGGAGAACTTTCGAGCTGGAGTTGGTCAGCTGACCGCTCCGGCTGTGACCAGACTTCGGCGCCGGGCTCTCGGGTTCGGGTAACGGCTGACCGTTGGAGATGATGATTTCTGCGTCGTAGCGGGTGATGCCTCTTCTTTTCAGCTCGGCTGCGTTCAGGAGATGCGACTGGGACTGAATGTTCTTAGCCCGGTTGTCCCACGACTCTGTATAGGAAAGAAAAAACAAAACAGAACACCACTTTTAACGGCCTATGGAAGAGAATCTCGTACCCGACTGTTCCAGCATTGTAATCTAGCTCCAGGAGAAACTTCTTTAAAAGCAACAAATGAAAAACAGTTTATGAAAGAAATGGAACAATGTGACTGCAATGTCAAGACATTTTTTTGGATTCAATTCTTTACGACAATGTACATCATTTAAAGATCATTTCTCTTTGAAGACACAAATGAAAAGCGATTTATGAAAGAAATGGCACAAAATGACCACAATATCAAGAGACATTATTTTTTAAAAATTAAATTCTTTACGACAAATTTGCATTATTTAAAGATAGTTTCTCCTGTAACACACTGATGCTACTTAACTTAAACTGCAAAATATTTTTTATTCTAGTCAGTACAAGATTACATGTATTCACAAGAAGCCCCAATCCCCACTGACAACTAACCTCTATCAGAATAAGAATTAGCAAAACTTCAGAAACTATTTTTTCATGCATTGAGAACTTTTAAACAATAACAGACCACCAAATAATTGCTTCTCATGAAAAACAAACTTCCACTGCTTCAAATCACCACAGGTCACAAACAAGAATAAAGGAGAAAAAAACCAACAACAAACATCATCCACTTCAATAACTATGTCTTTAACTGAATTTTAAAAAAATTAAAAAAACCCAGTCCCTTTCAGATGAAAGCTATGGACGATGGCAGAATAAGCTGATTCCTTTCATTCAAAGTGAAAGAGTAGTGACCATACAGAAAGAGTCACAGAATGACCCCTCTCACTGAGCAAAAAATGATTTCCAAAACTAGTCTTGCTGACCAACAGAAAAAAAAAAGTAACTTTGGCTCATCCCCTTTCTAACTCCAGTAAAAAAACCGGCTCGAACGCATAGAAAACAAAAGCAGGAAATGGCCGAAGCAGCACCTAGGAGCTGCATGCTTCAGCCATCATGAATGCAAAATGAGAACATATAATTGTAAAGAACATCAAAACAGTAAACAAGAAAAATCCAACTGACATAGCATTGAACAAATCTATACAGTTTAACACGAATAGCTCGAATTAGTCGGGACCGGCCTAGATAGTTCGAGGGGTATCTTACAAAGATAAAGGGGAAAAAAATGGGACTGCAGGCACAGTTCAACAGATGCGTGATTTCAAGTCTTCTGTGTTCAAACTATCCATGTTATACTGTATTTTTAAAAAAAAATATGGTAAGCTTCCTCCTGCCACTAAGAGTAATAATCAAGTCATAAGGTTGACTTAGGTAGGTACGGTCATAAGGTTGACTTACGTAGGTACGATTTCGTTTTTTTTTTTTTTAGTTTTAGTTTTAGTAAGTGTTTTACGGCACTTGCAACACAATAAGGTCATATAAGTTGGGTTTTTTTTTCTTTTAATTATAAGTCTTCTTCGCAAACAACAATACCATGACCAAGGCAGTAGAGTAGTGCTATTCCATGACAAAAAGCAGAAGACTGAAGTAGAATTTACTGAACTAGAAGTGTACAGAAGTATTGGAAGTCATTCACGATATCTGTTGGGGGTCTTATAAAATGGTAGCAAAACAGCATGACTGGGCAAGGGGGGTAACTGAGAAATTAAGGACACAGTTTTTGCTTCTCTATGATGGAATCAAAAATCAAATGTTGGGAGTTTCAAAACCAAACTTAAAGAAATAAAATACTAGAACAAATAAAAATGTATAAAAAATTGAAGTTTTGGATCAGAGAATTCTGATTATTAAGACTGCAGCAAAAAAAAAAAAAAAAAAAAAAAATACACTCAAGGAAAATACTTCAAGTTTCAAACCAATCAATTGTACAAATCAGAACGACACTAAAAAGCAAGGCGAAATCGAAACAAATTTAAAACAGAGAAGATAACGGAAACTTCTTCTCCGAGATTAATTAAACGTGTGACCCAATTTCAATTCAAGTTTACACATCACAACTAACAAGCGCGCGACTTGACCTGTAAAAAAACGGGGAAAGGCAGGGGAGATTACACAAAGGTGATAACAAAATATATAAAAGGTCAGTGAAAACTATACTCCCATTTCTTATACATCCTTATCAACACACTTTTTTTTAGTAAGAGTTTTACGGCACTTGCAACACAATAAGGTCATATAAGTGCCGAAGGTTAGAGGTGTTACTAGAGAATAACAAACACAAAATAGGAGGAGGGGAGATAATGACGACAGGTGTTTGTTTTTTTAGCAGAGGTTTTATGGCGCTCGCAACTGCATAAGGTCATATGAGCACCAAAAGATTAGAGGTGTTACAAGAGAGTAACAAACATAAAAAAGAAGGAAGAGAGATCAGGACGTTAGATGTTTGACAGGAATAAAGAAGAAGCAAACCACACCAGAGCACCCACCAACCACCCACAAACGGGGAAAGACAGGGGAGGTTACACAAAGGCGATAACAATATATATAAACGGTCAGTGAAAACTATACTCCCATTTCTTATACATCCCTATCTGTCAACACAGTTTAGATAATTCAGGAGGTGGGCTTCGACTTCGACCCTGCCTGTTGAGGTCAACACAAGTTGTGAGGGTTGCAGCATCCCAGGAAATATAGACCGAGACACTCTTTTATTTTTGTTTTAGTAGAGGTTTTTACAGCGCTCACAACTGCATAAGGTCATATGAGCGCCAATAAGACACTCTTTAAAAATTTCTCCCTACTTGGTAATCTAAATCGGGTCTCCTGCTTTCGACAGTGAAGCGTCTCACTGTTACACCACAGACGCTGGGTTAGGTAAAAAAAATTTTTAGCTTAGTTTTAGAGGAGGTTTTATGGTGCTCGTAACTGCATAAAGTCATAAGAGCGTCAAGGGGTGGATGTCAAAAGCATAAAAGGATGGGTGAAGGTATGTGTATATGAAATCGCTCAAACAGTAAATCCTGTCTCTCACCATTAGAATTAGAAGCCACATTGCCAAAGGTTGGCTGCGACTCCGGGGGTTTTGCCTTGAGCCGGTTGATTCTGTCGTCTGTGTCTCTGAAGCAATAGCCCTTCTGAGACGAGAGGTTCACTGGTTGCTTAGGTCTGAACGCTCCCATGTGACGACTGCATTTGGTCGGGGGAAAAGAAAAAAAAAGAAAATGAAATTAATAAAAATTAACAAAGCTTCTCAAACTGACTTGCAGTTTTGCATCACAATCTAGTTTTAGTTATAGTAGAGGTTTTACGGCGCTCGCAACTGCATAAGATCATATGAGCGCCAGAAGATTAGAGGTGTTACAAGAGAGTAACAAACATAAAAAAGAAGATGGGGAGACAATGACAATAAATGTTTGATAGGAAAGAAGAAGCAAACCACACCAGAGCACCCGCCAACCACCCATCCATCACAATCTACTTTTAGAACTTGCGTGTAAATAGGAAAGAATAAGTACATTGATACAATAAAGATTATTCAGGGCCAGGGAAAAGAAAGACAGGCAGTCAAACTTCACAAAGAAAAGATAAAAAGATCAGCGACAAAGAAGGTTTAGTTTACGTAAGAGTTATACGGCACTTGCAACACAATAAGGTCACATAAACGCCGAAGATTATTTAGAGGTGTTACAAGAGAGTAACGAACACAAAAAAGAAAGAGGAGAGATAAAGATGATAGATGTTTGATAGGAAAGAAAAAGCAAACCACACCAGAGCACCTGCCAACCACCCACTGAAAATGACAAAAAAGCTGGACTCAAATACATGTATAAAATTATATATAATTCAAATACTACACAGATGTAAAACTTACTTTTTTTTTTTTCCCCAAACAAATTTTCCATAAATTTCTCAAAATGGAACATATATATACCACTGGGGCCGCTGAGCACTGGCTATTTGGAAAAACAGAACCTTCGAGAACACAGCCGAATATAGTCTCCCAAGACTCACCGCTCGCACGTGACACATTCGCACAAGCTGTTGCCATCGCCAAAGAAGTCCTCTCCGTAAAAACAGGTGATTTCCTCGTTGCACTGTATGTCTCGCAACACTTTGACACAGGCCGTGTCTCTTCCGGTCGACACGAACTGAAACACAGAACAAATAAATCTGTGGTGTTGTGCAGTTATGGTCTAACCATGTAACCGGCAGAAATAGGTCAACTCGGTTTTTTATTTCATTCAGCAACTGTGGCTAATGTCCTTCAGAAGATTCTCAATAAAAAAATCTTTCCTATCTTTTTGTCTTTTGCTTTCTAAAGCCTTTTTATTTTTTTTTAAAAAGCCAATACAAAATGAACAAACAAAAAAGACCCAACAACAACCCCCCCCCCCCCCCCCCACAAAAAAAAAACTACATTACTTTTCATCTATAAATCCCAATGAAAAAGCTTCTTTTCCTTCATCAAGTACAAGATGTCAAACTGACACCGTTGATCATGGCTCACTACTCATTTCTTTGCATGGTCACTCCAAAATTCCTTGTGACAAACAGGAACCATGGTGTTCATATGACTTTATGCAGTTGTGAGCACCGTAAAACCTCTACTAATAAAAAAAAAAAAAACCCCAAAAAGCCACTAAAGAGATAGTCACGACCCTTCACCTTGCAGTTTGGACGGCAGTCATGATTGATGAAAGAGGCCGGACCAAGCCAAAGCTGGGCACAGTTCTTCCGACACGAGTACATCACGCTGAAGTCGTTCTCCCCTGATTTGAGAAGGTGGCTCTCTTCCTCGGCTGTCAGCTCCGCGATGCAGCCAATCAACATTTCGATCTTGTCGTTTTTGTGCCTGAAGGACGACAAAGTAAGGTTTAGTTTTAGTAAGTGTTTACGGCACTTGCAACACAATAAGGTCATATAAGTACCGAAGATTAGAGGTGTTACAAGAGAGTAACAAACACAAAAAAGGAGGAGGTGATATAAAGACAATAGACATTTGACAGGAAAGAAGAAGCAAACCACACAAGAGCACAAAGTAAGGTGACATGCCGTTAGGCCTGAGACTTTTACATATTCATTCCCTCATAATGTGCCATATAAACACCATTTACAGTCCAACCGGCTCTACCTGCCACCCGTATAAGACAATCACCAGTACAAACAGATAAACTTCCCATTTCCTCCCTTGCATATTTTTACATGATAATGTCACTGTGTAAGGCCTGTCTAATACATCCACTCTTTTTTTTCTTTTTTTTTTAGTAAGAGTTTTACAGCACTTTCAAGACAATAAGGTCATATATGTGCTGAAGATTAGAGGTGTTACAAGAGAGTAACAAACAAAAAAAGAAGGATGGGAGATAAAGACGATAGATGTTCGATAGGAAAGAAGAAGCACCCGCCAACCACCCACTCACACACCCACTTTTCTCCTTTTATGATGATTGGCTGTCTCAGACAAAACCATACACAGTAAATAATAAATCAAGGCTTCACAACAGAAACGGTCTGCTCAAATAAATGAAATCAGAAACTTGAAAAGTACGACAAAGTCCTGAGATCTCATGGCATAAAATCTCACCAGAATTTCGTCGAGCAAAGTTTTCCTCCGATCTGGCCTTCCATTGAGTATCTGTAGCATGGTAGAATTTGAAATCCAGACACGCTGTCAAACATCTGCAGGTAACGATATGTCTGGAGAAAAAGTTTAATAAATATGTTACATTAAATACATATATATTATATATTTTTTAAGGGGTTTTGTTTCGGTAAGAGTTTAACGGTGCTCACAACTGCATAAGGTCATATGAGCATGCGGGACACATAAAAAAAATTTCAGATCGGTTGGAATTAATTTTGAACTTTGACCTGATGGCAGATGAAGCCTACTTTTTTCGATTTTGGACCAACCGTTTTCAGTACCTTGTAGAAGAAATTCAGAGGCTATACAATAATAAATACAGCTCTATAGTGTCTAAGATCAGGCATTTTGTTAAGAGCATACTTTGTTCTGTTGCATTATAACCAGACGATGTTTAAAAAAAATTATATCTAAATATACAACAGGCCTGAGCTCCTCATATTATACTGATAAACACATTTCATGATTATCACAATTGTCACAATAGCCAAGATAAATATGAAAAATTAATAGGATTAGATGGAACATTCAAGAAGATTTCAAAAACTGGTACTGATGAGACACTTAACACTTCTTTCACATTTTTGTACAGCATGCTTTACAATTCATTAACATTAAACATTCACTCAAGCCACTTGGTAGCTACAAAAAGAAAACGAGGCGCCAGAAATCTCCAAGGCTCCTAGATCCATCAAGCAGGAAGTGCACCCATAATGACAAAAAATGGCAGAACACATTTACCTGGAAACACGATAATACTCACACACCCACAAGTGAAAACAACTGTGTAGTTTAGTCTAGATGAAGAAAAGCATATCGACATGACAAGTCATTTAGTAATTGTTAAGAAAGAGCAAGATTACAAAGGCAGTATCAACCCTTGGATATATATAAGTAGAAATAGGACTAAAAAAGTGGCGATGGATGGGACACACCTTAAGAAAGCCCAGCGGAAACATCCCAAGACAGTCACTGCAGCGGAACCCACAAGGTGCACGAGGCAGGGGTAGGCCACGGGAAACATGGAGGAGATGCGTGGAAAGGGACATGAGAGAGATGAAGCTCACTTGGAACAAGAAGCTTGGAAGGATGGCCCAGGACAGAGATAAATGGAAGGAGCTTGTATGTGGCCTATACCCTGCCGGGGGTGAGAGGAATTGATGATCAAGCCTTGGAAACCAAAGAAGTAAGACCTAACAGACAGTGCCACCCTCCAAACACCTTATAAAAATAAGTGCTTTGGATAGGGTCAAAGGAGTTGTGAATGTTATCATTCGTTCCCCAACTCACATGTTCTCTCAGTAACTTCATCTGATGCTTCATACGATGATATGGTGCTGTTCTATGGGAGTCCACTTTGATCAATGCTTCCAGGGCTTTTTCATAGTTTCTGTGCTCTTTGAACTGCTCGACAATCTTCTTTAGCTGTTCTGGGTGATTAACAGCTTTAAATCTGTTGAAAATTTTCAGATCATAACAAATGAGCATATATGATGGAATTCTTAAAAATGAACGACTTCTAAAAACCAACAGAATTTTAAGTTCCAAGCTAGTTATATGGCACTGACTATCGAGAACAAAAAGAGTATAATTAACCTTTTTCAGGACATAACTAGCCCAGGACTCAACTACAGAATGGATACAGATGCTGATCTATACAATATGTCTTTAAAACCTGTCAAGTTAGAAAAGACATTCTGCATTATAGCACTTCATAGACACAATATATTTAACTCAGTAACATTAGTAACAAACATATTCTCTCAAGAAATAAAGCATATAAAACTGTTGCTAGAAGACTACCTAAAAACACATTTCTTGTTAAACTTACTTTCTTCAGTACTTTTCCGTCATAGTTTACACTTACAGCTCTCTATAAATCAAGACACAAATGAACATGTGTGTGTATGCACTCTAGAAAATATTTTGTATCCAAGCACTGAGACATTATAACAGAAACAAATCAAGACAGTAACTCAGACAGTGTACCTTGTATTCATTTTATGTGTCATGAACCCCAAGTAAGGATCCAACACGAGCGCTGTGCACAGGTCATCGAAATCACACAGCTCCGCCGAGCTCATGCCGGTAGACGGCATGACCCGGGAGCTGCCTGATGACGCCATTCAATCAGCTGGAGGTCACATCTAGTGCAAAACTGAAACAAAAGAGAAAACAATATATATATATATATGTATAGATTGTGAAGCGCATAGAGAGCTTGCTGTTGAGAAGGGATTTGCGCTATACAAATTTTATGCTATCTCTATCATATTATTTATGTGAGAAAAGCACTAGAGACCATTTAGTTCTAGTCAGCTGTTGGCCACGTCTTTAAAAAAATCATATCAAATTCATCTGATTGTGATTTATTGTAAATCAAATGATTATAGAGGATTAGATTAAATTACAATTGGGCCAAAATGGTAGCTTTCCTCAGAAGAAAATCAAGCCGCTCTCAACCATATCAAACAGTAATGGCCACTACACGCGCGCGCACATACACACACACGCACGCACACACACATACATACACACAAGCGCGCAAGCACACACACAGCCCAAGCAGTCGGCGATGAAACCTAGCTCATTGCGCGCTAGGCGGCAAAGCGGGCCTGCCACGGTGAGATGTAGTCAACTGGCGAGGGAAGCCCCAGAAGATGAGAAAAATAGATGGCCGAAATACGTCATCTTTGGGCCAATCCTAGAGATGTGCTAGGTGCTCGCTGTAGCTTCCTGTGTATTATGTTTAAAAGGGGCACAGACTCGGACATACAGAGCAAAAATAAGTCAGGGTGCATCACAATGCAAGCAATATGCATGAATGTTGAATTATGACAGCACAACAGATGAGGGTGTAGAGGAACAAAGATTTGGTCAGGGGGATGGTGGAAGAGGGACCAGTAGAGATCTAGGCTACTTAGCAATAGGATGGGTATGGATCACACTACATGTCAAAATTATGATCCATGACTCACAGTCAAAGTAAGTTTGATTACAATGACAATGTGTCAATGTGATTTATATCTAGATCTAGTCTGGAATCTAGATTCTAAAGCCTTGGTAACGGAGATCAAGATTTAATTGTTATAATGATGCCAGTCATTCAATGATATTGATAATGCAGGCTACATGCCTAACCTAGATATGTATATCCAGATCTAATCTAGAATCTGGATCTAATCAAATTTTAGGCCTCACTAACCTCCGAGATCTAGATTCTAGATATAAATCTAGATCTATATAACTAGATTTAGATTTAGATCTCTAGCCCTTCCTTGCTTACCAACCCTTTACTTGGGCCAAAGGGGGGGGGGGGGGGGGGCGCACAAGAAAAAGAACGATGGCTGATGAGAGCCGGCCACTCCATCACAAGAAGTAAAAGCTGCCCACCAGCTCAGCCTGATTCGACAGAGATACTAGAGGTAGACCTAGATTCTAGATCTATAATCTAGATATCTAGAGTATAGACTATAGATTTAGTCTGTCTTAGGTCTGACACAACAACACGGAACATTAGAGTGTAGGCCTACAATAGGTCAGTAGTCAGTAGGGAGGAGAAAGAACAAAACTTGTCGCAACCGCGCAAGCCCGACATAATCTACAATGGGAAAAAAAGAAGTTAGACAGCAATCATATCAACGATACCATGTGCATATTTTCCCTCAAGATAACTGAGGCACTTCAAGGGTAAGCCAACAATCAGAACAGAAATTTACTTTGAGAAAAGTCCTGTGACGGCTGCAAGTGCAAGCTGAGCTGATCGTTCTTCGGTTTCAATCAGAGACGAGCCTCACTCAAGACCTGAAAGATAGGAAGTTTACCTTTACATAGGTGACCTATGACCTACAAACTATGGACCAATAAGAACTCGCTCTTCAAAAGTAGGGCACTTTTAAAAAACAAAAACACATCTGTTTCCCCACTATGGAACGAAACAATACAACGTGGATCACAGAGAAATCATACTCAAGAACATTAGAACATCCACGATTGCAAAATGAACAAGACCAAATCTCGACTTACTCACTGCAATAAATGTATACAAAGAAAACGTCAAAAACTACAAGCTTTTGACGTGCATAACGTGTTTAACTAGATCTAGTCTGTGTTTGCTTTCAATTCATCTCTAAAATCTAAACTTAGATCTATTCTAGATCTAACTTAAAGTAAATAAATAGACCTCTGAATCATGAATGCACAAGGAGCGGGCTACTGCTATTACAATAAGGGATGAATGGAGATAATCAGCAACTTATAATTAAAACGACCACAAAAGCACATTCATTGAAGTACAAATGCTCAGGCATTTAAAATCCTCAACAAGACCTACTGAGACAGTGGCAGTTCACAAGATCTTCAGTTTCAGACACCAGACAGTAGCCCAGCAGAACTCGACTTCATTGATAGCCTTTTCACAACCCAAAGGGGTTAAAGAGCAAGTTTTGAAAAATCAGTATACCAAATCTACTTGTGAATGATGTCACAAACGTATAAACAATAGAATCAGTTATTTTCTTTGAGTTGTGAAGCAATTTATACCCCCTCATCACACGAAATAAATGATTTTGGAAACGTAGCGTATTAATACAAAGTACAAAGTGGACGACGTAAAATTGTAGAATAGCAACCTGGTCTCGTTTCGTATCATTGAGAGAAATGCGAATCCTGAATTAGAATCTATAAGAACTCTTCAGTCTTCAGTCTTACCGGTCGGTTACTGTTCCTTGTGTTGGCTGGAAGGCGGGGACGTGAGTGTGCTTGGCCTCGTCGTGTTAGATAGTTTAAGTAAGTAAAATGTTGCACACTGATCTCTCTGTACTTTGTAGGAAGGGAGTTAATAATTGCGGAAGTCCTTTACGGATTTCCTTTTGGTTTTTTCTTTCTTTTTGTCAGTGCTGTTGTAGGCTATTTTTACTTTTGTAGTTTGGGTATTTTGAAACAGGCCAAAAGGCCTATGTCACATGTGAAGTCAATCAGCCTCTTCTTTCGGTTTCGGTGCCTATAAATAGGCCTAGCTGTTGGCGCCAAGTCTCGAGTCTCGCTCGACTCGACTCATCATGACTCAATCTAGATCAGCGAGGAAGAAAAAATAGAATAAGTCTGCATCTAGAATCTAGCCAAAACAATACAGTTCGAAAAATAGAAGAAGAAAACGACCACTAGATCTAGATATCTAGATTCTAGATCTAACAACTGACTGTATTACAGCTAAATCCATTCAATCTAAATTATGAAAATATTAATAAAAGCACGGAACCAAACTGATTGACTGATCGATCTGCCTGGTCTACTGAACTGTATACTGTAGCCTAGGCTAGATCTAGAAATCTAATCTATAGATCATCTAAATCTAGATCAACAATAATGTAATAAGATCTAGATCTAGCCTAGGCCCACCTGTGACTGACTGTATTAACCAAGAAGGTCTCTAACTTCTTATAGTCTATCTAGGCTAATTAACTACCTCGAAATTGATTACCTTCTCCAATCATGCTGTCACCTGTGTGCCCTTTTTCTTTATTTCTCTTCTCTTTTAATTTTTAACTTAAATTTTAATTATTCTTTTTTTTACTCTGATGATACTGACACCGATGATAGTGATCATTTATTGTATGAGAATGAAAGAAGTAGTGGAGAGAGAGAAAGAGAGAGAGAGAGAGAGAGAGAGAGAGAGAGAGAGAGAGAGAGAGAGAGGAACACAATATCATGGAAAGGTTCGGGTCATTTTACCACACTTGGTTGTACTGAGGTATAGGGATAATGCAAGTAAAATGAAACGGATGCTGTAACGGATTCTGAGTATTTGGCAGTTCATGTTTTATATTGCATAACGATATTTCCGCCTCAGATTCCCCTAATGACATGCATCAAAATGTAAAGAGTGCGATCATATTTGATTTAACTTAGCTTAATATCTTAATATGACTAGCTTTATGCAACCGCCT